TCGCTGGAGGAACAAGGTCTAGGAAGTCAGCGGGGCTGTCGGAACTGTCCTCATGTCCCTGCGAAGTCACTCAAACAAAGCTTTGTGATATTAAATGTAACCCGTGATACCACGAAAGGGCTATGTTTAATGAAACAATCACATCGGGGCAATTTTCAAATAAGCTGCTCAAATAAAACATGCATGAGATTAACTTAAAACAGTTGCACTTATATTCCTGAAGAACATTTTCAAAATGTCGTATCTGCCAGATGCCCATACTTGTCAGGCCCTGTGAGCCACGCTGGCATGGGAAATTGGAAAGTGCCAATGCCATTGGCCCCATTGGGCCCCCCCTCAAGCACCTCCACCAACGAGGCCCTGCCCTGAGCCTAACCCACAAGCCCAGGTACCTGATGGTGCCTCCCCGCTCCCTCAACAGTTTTAAGTGCCTTAGTTCTTCCGGTCCCACCTCCCAGCCAACTGCAGTGCCTGAGGCCTGACACTTGAGAACCCCTGTGTTGGCGCCACTGCAGGACACTCCCAGTTCCTGGAGCCTCCACAGTCCCTGCCTCAGCGCATCCAGAAGCTTCGGCTACCACACCGCCTTAGTCTCGCTGTACTGTGCCTGCACCTCAAGACCTGGAGATGCTGTCCCGGCCCTCCTTTGTGTGCCAGAACTACCACCCTGAGTGTGAGGCCGCCGTCAACAACCATGTCATCGTGCACTTCCACGCCTCCGAAGTGTACTCGTCCATGGCCTTCTACTTTGACCGTGAAGACGTGGCCCTGAAGCACTTCAGCCAGTTCTTCCTGCAGCGGTCAGATAAGGAGAAGGAACACGCCGAGAGGCTGATGAGGCTGCAGATCCAGCGCGGGAGCCAAATCTTCCTGCAGCACAACAGCAGTCCTCCCTGGGACGAATGGGACAGTGGCCTGAGTGCCATGCAGTGCGCCTTGCTCCTGGCGAAGAAAGTGAACCAGAGCCTGCTGAGTCTGCACCAGCTGGCCACCGAGAAGGAGGACGGCCACCTGTGCAATTTCCTGGAGAGGCACTACCTGCCCCAACAGGTGATGTTCATCAAAGAGCTGGAGGACCATGTTGACAACCTGCGCAAGATGGGCGCTCCGGAATCCGGCCTGGCAGAGGACCTCTTTCACAAGCTCACCCTGGGCAACAGCGAGAAGAACTGAGCCTGGACTGCCTTCCTGATAGCCATGGGGTGACTTCCCCTGGTCACCGTGCTGAGCATGCCTATTGCCCTTCAAAACCTTCACTTAAGTTTTTTATGTTCCTGTCTTACCATTCCTTCCAATAAAGTTATTGGTTCCTAAATAAAGGTGTTTCATTGATTCCTGTGTGTGAACCCCAAACCTTCTAGGTAATGAAACAGGTATGTAGGAGTGTCTCTTTCAAAACACACCCCATCACTGGTAGATCAGGATTACTGTGGATGGGAGGGCATATTCCCTGGGACCATGGATACAGGGTGCAAAACTTCTTTGGGAACCTGGATAGAGGGAACAGGTGTTCTGAGGGATGGAGGATGAAGGGAGGGGGTATCCCTGGGAGGATGGATGGAGAGAGGAGTTATTCCCAGGAACCTGGGAGGAGGGAGTGGGTATTCACTGACCCCTAGAGGAGGGTGGGGCTATTCTGTGGGACACTATATAGACAGAGGCGGTGTCCTGGGACCCTGGATTGTAGGACAGAGTATTTCCTGGGCCTTGAATGGAGGGAGCTGTTTTGTGGACCCTGGATGGAGGGAAGGGCTATTCCTGGGACCAGGGATGGAGGGAAGGATCCTTCCAGGGACCCAGTCTTGTGGGTGGAGTATTCCCTGGACCCTGGATGGGGGGGGACATTGTATTTTCTTGGCCGTAGATTGAGGGAGGAGGTATTCCCTGGGCCTTGGATGGAGGGAAGAGTTATCCTGGGATTGTGGATGTAGTGAGGTGGTATCCCTGAACCCTGGAGGAGGTTGGGACTATTCTGTGAGACACTGGATGAAGGAGGAGCATCCCGTGGTTCCCAGGGTGGAGTGAGGGAATATTACCTGGACCCTGGGTGGCGGGAGGTCATATTTTCTATCCCATGAATGGAAGGACAATGTATAATCTGGACCATGGATGCAGGGGGCATACCCTAGGAACCAGGATGGAGGGAGGGGCTGTACCCTGGATCTTAATGGAAGAGAGGGATAAACATTGGGTGAGGGTGTGACATTCCGTGGGACCCTGGATGGAGGGAGGAGGTATTCTCTGATCCCTGGAGGAGGGTGGGGTCTTCTGAGGAATAATGGCTGGAGCCAGGGGGGTATCCTGGGACCCCCGATGGAGGGTGAGAGTATTCCCTGGGCCCTGAATGGAAGATGGATGTATTTTGTGGACCCTGGGTGGAGGGAAAGGCCATTACCTGGACCCTGGATATAGGGAGGGGATTGCCTGGGATACTGCATGGAGGGAGAAGTTATTCCCTGTACACTGGGCAGAGGGAGGTGGTATTCCCTGGACCCTGGATGGAGCAAGAAGTTATTTTTTGGGGTGCTGGATTGAGGCAGGAGGTATTCCTTGGGCCCTGGATGGAGACAGAGGGTATTTCATGGCCTTAAACTGGAGGGGAGAGGTATTCCCTGGGCCCTGGATGGGGGAGGAGCATTCCGTGGGACCCAGTCTTGTGGGTGGAATATTCTCTGGACCCTGAAAGGAGGGAGATGGTATCTTCTTGGCCCTAGATTGAGGAGGAGATGTTCCCTGGGCACTGGATGGAGGGAGTGGTATTTCCTGAAACTTAGAGCAGGATGGGACTATTCTTTTGACCCTGGATTCAGGGAGCTTTCATTTCCTGGCCCTTGCATGAATGGAAGGGTAATTCCCTGCACACTGCAATGAGGGTGGGGTTATAGGCTCTAGGAGAGAGCCTAGGGAAAATAGCAGGTGGGAGAGGGCTGTCCCTGGAACCTGGATGGAGGAAGGGCATACACCCTTGACCCTATAGGAGGGTGAGGCCATTTTGTGGGACCCTGGATGGAGGGAGGGCATACTATATGGAACCTGGATGGAGGGAGGTTGTATTTCCAGGGCCCTGAATGCACAGAGGCATTATTCACAGTCTCTGGATGGAGGGCAGAGGTACTCTCTGGACTACACATGGAAGGCAGGTGTATATACTGGTCCTGAATGGAGGGAGTATGTATTCCCTGGCCACAGAATGGACAGGGCACGTATTCCCTGGACTCTGGATGGAGTGAAAGAGTTTTCCATGGGACCCTGGAAAATGTAGACTTTATCTTCTCCTTAGGAACCATGTGGCATATGGCAGGGGGCAGTCAGGTGGATGGTCTGATGCCCTGGTGAAAACAGATGCATGTCCATGCTCAAAATACAAAGCCTGGCATTAAAGTTATTGCTGTGCTTGCCACTGGAGAAAAAAACAGAGAGAGTGAGATTGGGCAAGAATTAGAGGTTTCTTATATTTTAGTTTAATGTTTGTAGTTCACTATAGTATGCAAATGTTAATGTTTCTTAACAGCACCTGTGCAGCAAGATGAAGACCCCAGAAGCAATCTTGATGAAGTCCTGATGGAGACCTGGGCCCGCGGGGTCCCTGTGCTGTGGCTGTGAGGAACACATTCACTGGGACTACAGAAGTCCTGTGGAGAAAAAGGGACAGCGTGGCAGCTCTCTGAGTGATAGAGAAGACCCGAGCCCTGCCTGGACAGGCTTTTCTTGCTTTTCTGGGTATATGACATCCAGGATGGTCCTGATTTACTATGTACAGGTTCTAAGTAGATGACTGCCTTTTACAGATAACAAAGGAAAGAATGTTGCTAACTACTTCACAGAGGAGGATGTGGCAGACCAAGGGGAAAAGTGGTTAAACTGGCTACACTCCACACTTGGGAGGTTTACAATAGCCTTTAGTAAATTACTTTAAAGGTATGCAGTAAACATTTGCTGCCTCAATCCAGGCTGAGGCAGTTTTAGCAAAAGAAGACTCATAGCAGCCTAGGTACAATGCAGGCCTGATTCCCCATGGGAGAACCTATCCGTGGGCCTGGGTCTTGTGTGTGGACTCGCTCCCCACTGGATTTTTTCATTCAGGGGCTGGGCTACATTCCCCACGCCACACAGATCTGTTCCCTGTAGACTACCACTTCCACAAGCTCTCACTGAGCAACTGCAATGATAGCCGAGCCTTAGGCTGGCTTTCTGAGGGACATGGGAGTGTCTTCCCAAGGTCCCCATGCTCGTCATGCCTTGTACCCTTACAAAACTTCCAAATATAGCTTTTTGCTTCAGTTGTCCTCTTTCTTTCACTACGTCAACATGATACCCCAAACATGAAATTATATCCACAGGATGGAGAAGTACAAGATCAAGGCTGAAAGTCAAATTCCTGGTATTGAATATGAAGTAGCACACGTTCCCCTGCACGTTATCAGTGACTCAGTGCTTTCAAGAATGTAGAGGGAGGGGGAGAGCTGAGGGTGGGAGGCCAGTTAAGAGATCTTCTAGCTGATCCAGGTGAAAGGCACTGGGGGTTGAACCCTGGTGGTGACTGAGAAAATGAAGAGAGGTGGGCAAATTCCACAGGGACTGGATGAGCTGATAAGTTCAGCTTATGGGCCAGAGGTGAAGAGTGAGGGACCAGGAAAATAATCTGGGTACTGGTGATTAGAATTGAATACCTGGGTTGATTCTAGCACTGTTTATTAATTTGAAGATTTTTCTCCAGGTGTAGGTCTGCCATATTATGGAAAACCTGAGATGCCAATTGGACATCCAAGTGGAACCATCTTGTAGATAACTCTGAGGTCATTGTAGACCCAGTGCTCCAGGTTTGTATCAGGGACTGGGTATGTAGGCAACCTTGGCCTAGCAAGTATCAAGACTTCATACACACAGCAAAAAACCATGTGTTCAGTGTAAATTATATTGTTTACCTACTCTAGGCACAAGGACTTGCTTAGCAATTAGAAAAGGTAGGAACACTTCCCTAATCAAAGTTCCCAGACACCATGCCCAAGTGGAACCTTCTTGGGGGTCTTTCTAAAGACAGTGGTGCCAGTCCTGCCATGCTGACTCATTCATGCACAGTAAGTGTTATTTACCCACAGTGGGCACGGATCACCCACCCACTAGTATGATGAGACTGACATAATAATATGTGTTTAAGGTGTGTAAGTAGCAAAGAGATCTATCATGAACAAGTATATGCCACCAAATGAGGCAATCTGGAAGAAATGAATAAATTCTGAGAAATATACAATCTCCTGAAGCTGAATCAAGAAGAAACTGGAAATTTGAACACATGGCTTACAACTGAGGAAATCAAAGCCGTCATTAAGAAAAACAAAACAAAACAAAACAAAAAAAACTCCCAAAAAACAATAGCACTGGACTGGACGGCTTTACAGGTGAATTTTATTCAACTGTGGTATCTGACACCTTTAATCTGCCCAAAGTACACTCCTAAGACAGTCAATGAGCTTAAGACATTTCAGACCTCCAGAGAAGGGACACAGTAGGACACATCTACCGAGAAGAAAAAAGTATTAGTCTCCCAATGTTAGAAATATCATATTTAATTTGGTCAGAAGGAGTGTCCCTTTCCTACCCGTAAGCCATACCATGTACGCTCAAAGGAACACCCCCTGAGTAACTCAGCACACTCCAGGCTTCCATTGCAGCAGACGCCCTGTAGGGAAATGCACATCACAACTGCGGATGAGATCCATGCTCATTACCTCAGTTGATGAAGTAAGTCCTTTATTCCTAACTGTACAGGAACACAGATTTGCCAAATGTATGAGGAAGATAAAAGAAAAAAAAAGACAGTGAATGCACAGAACTATTTCCGGGCAGGGGGAACCCACGAGAGAATTTTACTAAAAATTCAAATTCATATTCTCAGAACTTCAAGGGAAGAAAATGGATCTATACAATAAAAATTTCTCGTACAGAAGGAATTAGAGGACAAAGTCCTTGCAAAATAGACACATTATTGCAAAATTGAAACCATTAAATGCTAAGAGGTCAGAACAGATTCTCCCCGCCTCACCCAGGCAGTGATGGAACCAGGAACAGGACTCTGGTGCACTGCCCACTTTGACAACCCCTTTCACCGCACCCCGCTTTGCCACTCCCCTTCCCAGGGATCCTCCTTGCGCCTTCTCCAGAATATTCGCGAGAACTGGTCACCTTTTCAGTCTTCAGGTTTCACCTTCGCTTTTCCGGTTCCATCTCAGAGCCAACCACCAGTCGCCTGCTGCAGACCACTGGAGCACCACCCACCTGTGGTGTTGCTGACTCACCCAGGGTGCACCCAGGTCACCCGCAACTCCAGCTCCGGCTTCCACCACTTCTTCTTCACGTAGGTGCCCCCAGCCCGCACCTGCGCTACCAGACAAGGAGAATGCTTTTGCGCCCTGGCATCTGCTTCAGAACTACAATTCCGAGTGTGAGGCCGCCATCAACAACCAGGTTGCCTTTGAGCTGCACGCCTCTTATATTTACATGTCCATGGCCTCCTACTTCAACCGTGGAGACGTGGCCTTGAAGCACTTCAGCCTGTTCTTCCTTCAGCAGTCGTACAAGGAGAGGGAACACGTGGAGTATCTGCTGGGGCTGCAGAACCCGGGTGCCAGCAACCCCCGCTGGTGGAACATGCCCAGGCCTGAGGAAGAGAACTGGGAGAATGGCCTGAGGGTCCTGGAGTGTGCCTTGCAGCTGGCGAAGAAAGTGCCCCAGAGCCTGCTGAGTCTGCACCAGCTGGCCACCAAGAAGCACAGCCGCATCTGCAACTTCCTGGAGTGTGACTACTTCCATGAGCAAGTGGTGTTCATTCAAGAGTTGGGGGACCATATCACCAACCTGCAGAAGCTGGGGGCCCCGGAAGATAGCCTGACAGAGTCCCTTTAGACAAGCTCACTCTGGACGACAGCAAGAACTGAGAAGGACTGCCTACCCAGTAGCCGCGGGGGTGACCTGCCCTGGTCACCATGCAGAGCGTGTCTATTGCCATATTGCCCTACGAAATGTTCAGTTAAGTTTTTATGTTTGAGTGCTTTCATTACTTCCTAAAGTTATTGGTTGCTAAATAATTAAAGGTGTTTCCTTGGTTTGCGTGTGCAAAACTGTCCCCGTTTTCATTTTAAAATAAGTGTGCAGGAGTCTCTTCACTCACCCATGTCCCATTGTGTGCAGAATGGGATCTCCATGGATGGAGGGAGGGATCTCCATGGGTGGGACCCTGTATGGAAGGAGGTATTCCCTGGATTCTGGATGGAGGGTAGGGGTATTCCCTGGGCCCTGAATGAAGGGTGGACTATTCCCTGGGAGTCTGAGTGGAGTGACAGGGTATTCCAGACTACCCTGGATGGAGGGAGGAGGTAATTCCTGGACTCTGGATAGAGGGAGGGGCATTTCTTGGGACCCTGAATGGATGGAGGGAGAAGCTATTCCCTGGGGCTCTGGACAGAGGTTAGATGTTTCTGTAGGACTCTGGATGAAGGGAGGAGGTATACCCTGCACAGTTTAAGGAATTAGGCTGTATGCCCTGGACCCTGGATTGAGCCAGGGGCTATCATTGCCACCCTGAATGGAGGGAAGAGGTATTCCCAAGATCCTGGATGGAGGGAGTGGGTACACCTTGGGACCATGCAGTGAGGGGGTTCTCTGTGTGACCCCAGATTAAGGGTATCACACTCATTTTCACAGGGGGCCACATCAGCTTCGAGGTTGCCTTCAAAGGGCTGCAGGTAATTTTAGGACTGCATAAATGTAACCACTCCTTACCGTTAAGCAAGGGTTCATTGGTTCCAGAGGGTAGAAATTAGGTGCCAGGCTGGATAAAAACAAGGTACAGGGCCGGATTCAGCCCAAGGGCCTTGTGTTTATCAACTGTGTCCTAGATGCTGGGAGGACTTATTCCTTGGTCCCTGGATGGAGGGAAATGTTATTCCCTGGGACTCTGGATGGAGGGAGGAGTTATTCTCTGGATGCTGGATGGAGAGAGACTGTATTCCCTGGGCTAAAATGGAGGGAGGAGCATTCTGTGGGATCGGTATTGTGGGTGAAGTATTCCTTGGACCCTGGATGGATGCAGGTGTATTCCTTGACCAAAATGTAAGGAAGAGGTATTCCCTGGAACCTGGATGGAGGGAGGGGGTGTCCCTTGATGCTGTATTGAGTGAGGTGGTATTCCCTGAACCTTGGAGGTGGATGGGGCTGTTCTGTCAGACACTGAATGAGGTATTGGCATTTGACAGCCTCTTCCCTCAAGTGGGCTGCCTATGGCCTCACCAGCTCCTCCAATAACTCTGTAACTCAACTGATTGATGTGCTTAAAGGAATCCTAGGTTTTGTCTTTGCACTCAGTGCCTCTTGTTGTTGTTGTTGTGTGTAAATACCTACATATACATAGGGGCACACGGACATACATACACACACACTAAATTTGCATCACTGCTAATGGTTTGGAAAAAATCAGCACTTATCTGGCTGGACAAACTCAAGGGATAACATTACTGAAGGAGAAACAAGTCATACAGCTGACAGTACTCCGCAGATCAATGAGCCTTTCCTCTTGAGTGTTTGTCAGGTGAGAAACCAGAACTTGAGAACTCCATCCACAGAAGCAAAAGCCAAATGTTTATATTCTACCTAAAGAATATGTCCCAACCCATTGATTGACATTGAAATAAATTAAGTTTAAAATCATTTTGGCAGACAGCTACCAAATAATCAGGTATTTCTTAGGAATTTGAAATTGCCTTAATATGTTTAACTGACCTTAAATACTGAGGGGGTTTTGTTTGTTTGTTTGTTTGCTTGCTTGCTTGTTTTTGGGAAAATGGGAAAACCCTTCAAGGAAATAAATCTAAAGGACATTGTTTATTTTTCAAGTGTGAGCAAAAACTGAAGAATGAAAAGCTCAGAAGGAAGGTAATTCTGTGAATAGCACACAGAAAACACTACACAAAATCTACCTTTGTAAGTGGTGTTTTTTACTGAGTTTTACATTGGCTAATTGAGGTTATTATAGTTTTATGAATGAGAAAAAGAGCATATAAACATTTGAGAGTATGAAAGAAAAGTTAAAAAAATTAAAAATGGGAGAAAAATTGCTCATGTCCAATCATGAACAAAAATGATTACATGTAAAAGTTATTGTATTAGCACTCAAGGTCAATATGACTATGAGGCATAGACAATTTTATAATGATTGTAATTTTTGCCTAACTTGTTTGGAAATACACTCAATTTTAGTGAAACAAATTATCTACAACTTCAAGACATTCCGAATCTGTAGGCTAATTTACATAATTTATATAATATTTTAATAGAACAAAACTTCAGCACCTTCAGTTATTAAAATTAGTGAGACCTTTAATGGTACTTCATGAAACCAGAATAACTACATCAGGGTAAAGTATCACTTTCCTTTTCACAAGTTTATAAAAATGGACAGGCAATACTTAAGAAATGCCTTCCACTAACTGAAAGGAAATTTACTTCATGAATCACCCAGAGAACTAAAGTGTGCCAACTGTTCCAGAAAGAAGAGTGGTCCAGACCTGAGATGGCCCACACATATCAGGGAATGAGGACATGGCACTTGAAAGAGAACTTGCATCCCAGCATACAGGGAAGTGGCAGCAAGTGTATTCTCAGTCAGAAGTGATTACGTTTAAGACAAAAAGCATAATCTGAAGTGTGACTGAATCTTCTTAATTTCAGTGATGTAGTTTTATTTGCATATCTTTATAAATTGTTAGTTTTACAGCCAGAGAGGCATACCTTTAAGCATAGAGATTTTTATACCTAGTTTTATGTTTTTGCATATTAAAGTAAAATTATAAGAATAATTTGTCACCATTGGGTGTCTTTGATTTTTTTCCTTCTCAAGGAAACCCAGTTTAAACACATTCAACACCCACTCCCACTCATATTTTTAATTTGGGGAAATAATGAGATATGATGAGAAATAATAAAATAAAGCTTCTAATGAGGACTTCAACATTTTAACTAGTGTTTCTGAGCCCCCACTATGTGAAATTTAGTATCAAAGAAGTTAAACAGTCTTTGCCCTGAAGGAGCTCATGGTGCAGCTAAACATTCCAAATTACCCAGAGAGGAATCCAGATCACCGTGTCACTGGCTGCTAATTACAAGATGTGTGCTTGCTGGAGCATGTTACTGGCTCTCAAATTCACAGCTTCTTTATCTGTAAAATATGGCTGGTGATGGTAAAAAATTAACTGAGAGTATCTGTAACAATGAGATAATAGAGTAACAACAGTCCAGGAACAGATGATATTAAGGATGGATAATATAATACTGATTTTGGATTGCTCTCAGTTTTCATTGCTGCTTTATTAAATGAGTTTTATACATATGCAAACACACACAGAGTAAGTCACCAACTGCTGCTACTTATGATCTGCTTTCTTGTAAATATATCATCAAGCCTACTGCACGTATTAATTTTTTAAGATTATATAGAACATTGATTAACACTTAGCTGCAAAAAAATTCAGATGTGATGAGCTTGTGGGACAGGTTTTTATATTAGGACCTATAAAAATACCTGGCATATAATATGTACTCAATAGAAATATAGTGAATTAATGAATGAATGAAGGCTCATCACTGACAGTGAGTCAAAACTTATTGTCTAATATCAGTGGTGTAACTATTAGATCTGTAGCATTTTTAATCAATGAAGGGAACCAAAAGACAAGACAGAGCTTTTGCCAATTATGGCACTAGAATTTTTATTTGTTGGCTCTGCATTTGGTATGAATAAGACTCTGTTGTATAATTTTATATATCAACTTGACTGGACCAGGGTATACCCAGGTATTCAGTCAAACATTATTCTGTGTGTGCCTGTCAAGGTATTTTTCCATGAGATGACTATTTAAAACAGTCCACTGAGTAAAGCAGCTGGCCTTCCCTACTGTGGGTGGGCCTCATCTAATCAGTTGAAGGCCTGAAGAGAACAAAAATGCTGAGCCAACTCTGAGAAAGAAGGAACTCCTCATTCTCAACTGCCTTTGAGTGGGGAACACTGTTTCTTTCCCCTGCCTTCAACTTCACTTCTTGGCTCTTGAACCTATTGGCCTTTGGACTGGACCTGCAACAGCAGCTTTCCTTGGTCTGAAGCTTGCCAAATGCAGATTTGGGGAATTTTGAGCCTTCATAACCACATGAGCCAATTCTTTAGTTTACAGATAGACAGACAGACAGACAGATAATATTCTATCAGTTCTGTTTCTCTGGAGAACTCTGACTAATACTAATACAGTATAGACACTGACCACAAACCTTTCAAGGAAACCTTATCTTATAGTCTTATATTGTATATATAAGACTATATATTGTTTAAAAATATGATCTTGTGTTATAGTTTCTCTTTATGTGTTTATATTTACTCTTATATTGCTCATTAAAGAAAAACTGGAGGGGATACTTTTCTTTAACACATGTATATTTCCTTCATGGAATTCTGAGGTTCCCAGCCCATGCTTATTTATTGATTTCCCTTAGAAAAGATAGTTTTTCAACCTTAGGTAGAGTAAAATGATAAGGATGAATTATTACATAATACTGGAACATAATAAGAAACAATCTACAATAGCAAGATTTCTTCTATTTAAACAGATTCTCACAGTGAGTTCTCCCAACAGATACAATGAAATCCCCCAAAGATATTTGGAAAGTCTACAATTACATTAAGACTAAACACTGATGTAAGGAAATATAGATTAAAATTTCACATCATTGAGAAACTGATCATGTAGTTCTTTTTTGCTATCCAAAATGCGTTTATTGGGATGGTCCCCCACTCCTCTTGATTCAGGCTGCTTTTCGTGCTACTTGCTTCTGAAAGAGAATCCTTCTGCAAGCCTTGCTTT